ATATTGTATAATCAGTGTGCTGTGCTAGATTGTATAATCAGTGTGCTGTGCTATATTGTATAATCAGTGTGCTGTGCTAGATTGTATAATCAGTGTGCTGTGCTATATTGTATAATCAGTGTGCTGTGCTATATTGTATAATCAGTGTGCTGTGCTATATTGTATACTCAGTGTGATGTGCTATATTGTATACTCAGTGTGCTGTGCTATAGTGTATACTCAGTGGTCAAAATGTCATTTTGTACAATCATAACTAAATATTAATGTTGTCTGGTCAAGTAATTGGTCAGTGTGTCAACTCATTGATCGAAATGTCCTAATGTACAAATGTCATAGTATACAAATTGTCATAGTGTACAAATCTCATAGTGTACACATGTCATAGTGTACAAGTGTAATTGGTGGCTCTTCACTTAATCCTTGACAGAGTTACTTCAGTTAAATAATCTGTACAAACAAAAGACTATTCAGAATGAATCATCAGAGCCATGTTTAGCAAAATAATTTGTACAAAAAAAAAGAACATTCACAAAGGAATCATCACAGCCATGTTTTAGATTATTTAAAAATGAATCATTACAGCCATGTGTTAAGCCATTCACTAACAAATCATCACAGCCATGTTCAGACCATTCACAAACAAATCACCACAGTCATGTTTTAGACCATTCACAAACAAATCACTACTGCCTTGTTTTAGACCATTCACAAACAAATCACTACTGCCTTGTTTTAGACCATTCACAAACAAATCACTACTGCCTTGTTTTAGACCATTCACAAACAAATCACTACTGCCTTGTTTTAGACCATTCACAAACAAATCACTACTGCCTTGTTTTAGACCATTCACAAACAAATCACTACTGCCTTGTTTTAGACCATTCACAAACAAATCACTACTGCCTTGTTTTAGACCATTCACAAACAAATCACTACTGCCTTGTTTTAGACCATTCACAAACAAATCACTACTGCCTTGTTTTAGACCATTCACAAACAAATCACTACTGCCTTGTTTTAGACCATTCACAAACAAATCACTACTGCCTTGTTTTAGACCATTCACAAACAAATCATCATACCATGTTTTAGACCTTTCACAAATATATCACCACAGCCATGTCCAGGCCATTTACAAACAAATCATCACAGCCATGTTTGGACCATTCACAAACAAATGAAAACAGCCATGTTTTAGACCATTTACAAACGAATCATCACAGTCATGTTCAGACCATTCAGAATTGAATGAACATAGCCATGTTCAGACCATTCATAAACAAATCATAACAGCCATGTTCAGACCATTCATAAACAATTCATCAAAGCCATGTTCAGACAATTCAGAATTGAATGAACATAGCCATGTTCAGACCATTCATAAACAATTCATCAAAGCCATGTTCAGACGATTCAGAATTGAACATCAAAGCGAAGTTTTAGACCATTCACAACCGAATCTTCACAACCATGTTTGAGAACATTCAAAAACAAATCATTACAGACATATGTTAAGCCATTCACAAACAAATCATCACAGCCATGTTGAGATCATTCAGAAATAAATCATTACAGCCATGTTCAGACAATTCGAAAATAATTAATCACAACCATGTTTTAGACCATTCACAAAGAAAACATCAGAGCCATGTTTTACACCATGCACAAACAAATCATTACAGCCTTGTTCAGACCATTTACAAACAAATCATCAGAGCTATGTTTTAGACCATTCAGAATTGAATCATCACAGCCATGTTTAGACCATGCACAAACAACCACCACAGCCATGTTCAGATCATTCACAAACGAATCATCACAGCCGTCTTTTAGACCATTCAGAAACAAATGACAATAGACAAGTTTTGGACCATTTACAAACAAATCACCACATTAATGTTTTAGACCACTCACAAACAAATTTACCACAGCCTTGTTTAGACCATTCACAAACAAACCATCACAGCCATGTTTTAGACCATTTACAAAAATTTCACCACAGCCATGTTTTAAACCATTCCCAAACACATCATTACATTCATGTTGCAGACTGTGGTGATCTGACTTATGACTTATTAGAGAGGAGGGTCTATCGTATGAGATCTCCTCTTGGCACTCTGTCTAGGGATATGTTATTTAAGCCGAATAACAACACGGACATAACACCTATCTATATACATATAGTATAGACTGAAGCGAAGTCCTAGTTAAAGGTGAAATTAACTACAAATATTTATTACACAATAATATTTACAACTTCCTACGTGAAACAGTCGTGGTGCTCAATGTATATACATCAAACGGATTTCATCCAATTAGAAAGGTATATTAACACAAAGCAAGTGTCCCTAACATACAGACGGTATCATCATTACTACTGCTATATTGCTCAAGCTCTATGCTCGTTCTTGGTAAACTTAGCCTTTATAGATTCTGTGATGGTCTCGGTGGATCACACAGTGTGGGAGTCCTTCTGCTCAAGAAGTAGTGTCCCTGTTCCGGCCTTCGGTGCTGTTCTGAGCGTAGCGAAGTCGGAGTTCCCGGTCGTAGATTCCGTGGAATGTCTGCGAGGGGAAAATGACTCTCCCGCGATAAATCGTGGTGGTGAGAGTCCCTGGATCTCGAAGTCCTAGCTGTCAGGTAGTTTGGTGTAGGATGTAGATCATCGAGGTAAGTCGGTCCAGTAGTAGAAACCAGGCTAAAGGCAAAATGATACAAAATTGGATAAGTATCCAGGCGAATATCCATAAGCTGATAAGTCCCGTTCCAACAGCAACGAATTCAGATCGATGTCTGGAAGGTGACATAGCTTGTACATATATACATCCAATTTGTGGATTTAATATAAGTCTTTTCATTGTCGGCGGGAGCATATGTTGCATCGCGACAATGTTAGACCACTCAAACATTTTAATTAATGAAATATGGGACATGGTATCAATAACAATCATTATATCTACAGGTACATAGTGTCTGTATTGTCATCTCGTTAAAAGAGACATGGGCGTGTTGGAACAACAACCTACCATCCCCATGATGGGATGGCGGCATGTCGAAGCCCACAGCAAAAACAATAATATAATCAATAATATCAATATAAAGTCAGTGAATATAGGCATTATTGGAATAGGATCAACCACGATCGAATATTTGAGACATAGCGAATGAACAATACAAGTGCAATACCAAAATCATGGTTGCGTACTTACTAGTACTCTAGGTAGCAGTTGCAGTTAAGTATCACGCCAGTGAAGTACTAAGTCTAGTCACTTCAAGCGTCCACAATCAAGTGATCAGATCTTAAAAGTCATGTACTTGCTAATATCCTAGGATGCAGTTATGTATCATGCTGACGAAGTTCTGAGTGCAGATCCTTCCAGCATCCACCGTCAGGTGATCAGATCATAAAAGGCAGAATCTTGCTTGTTCAGGCTATTTATTCGAGTTCGATGACGATTAGCTGATGGTTCAATTGGGTGATTCAAATGAGGGGTCAATTTTCCATCCAATGAAAATCACTTTCACTGTTGCGGGTTTGACCTTCAACCCTCAAGGTTAATCGGACTGAGGTGACCATCCTTTTTCAGGCTTTGGCGTGAGTTCTCTGTCTAGACAATGCATTTCCAGCAATGCCTTGCTGTCTACAGGGCAAAAATGAGGGGGGGAATGGTATTATTTCCTCAAGGTTGTTCGGTGGGATGGTTGACCGCAAATAGCATGTTCGGGGGGTGAGCGAACTGGTGCAGGAATGTGATATCACAAGGGAACTCACTCGTGCTGAGCGGTGGCAGGGCTACTTGAGGGGAGGGAAAGGAGTTATTATACAAGGGTTTCCAAGGGCGGATTTACGATATAAGAAATTTTACAAAGTCCAGCCTCAGATCGTCACACAGACCATTTACAAAAATATCACCACAGCCATGTTCAGACCATTTACAAACAAATCATCAGAGCCATGTTTTAGATCATTTAGAATTGAATCATCACAGCCATGCACAGACCATGCACAAACAACCACCACAGCCATGTTCAGATCATTCACAAACGAATCATCACAGCCGTCTTTTAGACCATTCAGAAACAAATGACAACAGACAAGTTTTAGACCATTTACAAACAAATCACCACATTAATATTTTAGACCACTCACAAACAAATCATCACAGCCATGTTTTAGACCATTTACAAAAATATCACCACAGCCATGTTTTAGACCATTCACAAACACATCATTACATTCATGTTGCAGACCATTTACAAAAATATCACCACAGCCATTTTCAGACCATTTACAAACAAATCATCTGAGCCATGTTTTAGCCCGTTCAGATATGAATCATCGTAGCCATGTTTCAGACCATTCACAGACAAATCATCACAGTAATGTTCAGACCATTCACAAATACATCATAACAGCCATGTTAAGACCATTCATAAATAATTAATCACAGCCATGTTCCGACCATTGATCATCACTACCATGTTTTAGACCTTTGACAAACGAGTCATACAAGCCATGTTTTACAACATTCAAAAAGAAATCATTACAGCTATATGTTAAGCCATTCACAACAAATCATCACAGCCATGTTCAGACCATTCAGAATTGAATCATCCCAGCCATGTTCAGATCACTCAGAATTAAATTATCACATCCATTTTAGACCATTCACAAACAAATCACCACAATCATGTTTTAGACAATTCAAAAACAAATCAGCACAGCCATGTTTTAGAACATTCACAAACAAATCAACACAATCAGGTTTTAGACCATTCACAAACAAATCACCACAGCATTAGACAAACTTATTTTTGTGGGATAACAAAGTTATAAATATATATTTATTTAGAGGAAAATATGGGGCGGGGGGGATGTCTAACGGTGAACCCTTTACTCTTTTATAAAATTGTGTAATGGTTTTGTGAGAGAAAGACGACCTACTAACAAGGTAGTTAGTTGTGTTTTGTTCTTTCTTGATTGGCAGATATTTGAGTGAGCTCGTCTCACCCATGGCTTACCTTAGAGCCATAACGTTCTATCTTGTTTCTTAACACACCACAGGCTCTGAAGACATGAATTGTCCGAGATTGCCTCATGACCTCAGGGTGTGTGTGTGTTGTTTTGTTGTGTGATGTCATCGCTGTCCACATCAGTACCCGATGATTTATGGCGAGCTGCTCATTCTGGATTAAAACTTCCAAGTTCTGGATCGCTGTTAATCTGCGAAATGCTGGCGTTGACATGGTGGACCCTGGTTGCTCTCTGGATGGGAAAGTATGTGACCAGAGCAGCAAGCAATGGATTGTCAGCTCATGAGACGGGTCAGAAGGTCAGCCTGTTTTTGTCCAATCTTCAAAAACTTGACCCTGAATATTTGCTAACTTCACTGTCGCATGGGAGAGCTTTTGGTGTGGAGGCTAGGGACCGCTGGACTTCTCGGAATAATGGACGGCTGTCAATGTTAGATGAGGCGCGGGGTTTGACTTCTGGTTTTGATGACGTCATGCACATGCCTGAGTTGCCCAACAGGTCGGCTGAGTATTTGACAGACTGGACGACGAATGTGAGCACAGGATGCGTGCATGACATACTGGTGCTGGTCAGTGGCATGGCGAGCAAGGAGTATTGGGCACTACAGCGTAAGTTACGTCATTGTCAAAATAAAATGAGTAGAACAGAGTAGGGTTAAACCTGAAAAAATAAACGCAACAAAACAGCGAACGTGTCGGCAGAAAGCCTTCGTCACTTCTATTGCTGCCCACAGATACTACTTACCAGCTAAGTGCTATTTCTTATTTTTATACCGTTTTTTCTGTTTTGTTCGCTGACGAAGGCTTTCTGCCGACACGTTCGCTGTTTTGTTAAGTTTATTTTTTCAGGTTTAACCCTACTCTGTTTTACTCATTTTATTTTGTACTAACCTGATTGCAGTCTCTCCCCTAATTACCCCTACGTCATTGTCAGTTTGCGGCCCCGGGGGAGAGGGTGGGATGGTGCGTATTACAAGGGAGGTCACTCTGCGCAAACATCTCATTTTATAAAGTAGTCAACTTAAAAAATGTTGCACAAATACATAGGAAGTTACAACCCCCCACCCCAATAATAAATAATAAAATATCCGAGCTGTGCGTAGTTGTATGCAACGTGAAATAATGTGACAGATATCCAAGAAATAGGGCACATTGGCAATTTCTTTTGGAGTCAAACAATTTCTCATAACTCGCTTCTAAAACTTAAGTTAATGAGACATTTATTCATTCACTTTTACCTAAGTTTCAGGGCTTAAATGATGGCTTGTCATTCTTTAACTGCAGGTCTTTTCCAATATTCCTATTCATAAGCAACCAACTCAACTTTAAGATAAGTCTTTAATGTCATTAGCAAAAAATTTAATGAAATTGTCTGACTTGCTCCTTTTCTCAGCCTTGACATCCGCCATGTTTGAGTTATGTTGTTACAACTTCTGATGGTTCGATAAAATGAGAAAGTCCTTCCACTATTTCAGTGCTGGACTCCTGGGGCAAGCCTGGACCATCACTCCTGGAAGGAAGGCTCAACCTGGCCGGCAACTACAGGCAGTGTCACGGTGTCCGGTGGCCGTCCAGTGGCAATGGAAGCAAGGGCAACTACTGTGTGATGAGATTATCCGTGAACAAGTGGCTGGTAAAATAATTTTATGTTCTTTTGAGTCTGTACTTGACTAATTGCTAACTTGATGGCTTATTTAAAACATGCTTCATCTGTTGCTAGTCTTTGTGTAAATTTTATCATCTTAAATGTCAAAAGACATGTGTAATATTCCTCATCATCATCAAGAACATGTTGAATGTGTTAATATGATATTTCCACCAGAGCCATATGTTAAGTGGTTAATATAATATTCCCATTAGTACCATATATTGAGTTTGTTAATATGATATTCCCATTAGCACCATATATTGAATGTGTTAATATGGTATTCCCATTAGGACCATATATTGAATGTGTTAATATGGTATTCCCAATAGGACCATATATTGAATGTGTTAATATGGTATTCCCATTAGGACCATATATTGAGTGTGTTAATATGATATTCCCATTAGGACCATATATTAAGTGTGTTAATGTGATATTCCCATTAGGACCATATATTGAGTGTGTTAATATGATATTCCCATTAGGACCATATATTAAGTGTGTTAATGTGATATTCCCATTAGAACCATATATTAAGTGTGTTAATATGATATTCCCATTAGGACCATATATTAAGTGTGTTAATATGATATTCCCATTAGGACCATATATTAAGTGTGTTAATATGATATTCCCATTAGGACCATATATTGAATGTGTTAATATGGTATTCCCATTAGGACCATATATTGAGTGTGTTAATATGATATTCCCATTAGCACCATATATTGAGTGTGTTAATATGATGTTCTCATTAGGACCATATGTTGAGTGTGTTATATGATGTTCCCATTAGGACCAGATGTTGAGTGTGTTATATGATGTTCCCATTAGGACCATATGTTGAGTGTGTTATATGATGTTTCATTAGGACCATATATTGAGTGTGTTAATATGATATTCCCATTATTACCATATATTAATTCAATATGATGTTCTCATTAGGACCATATTATGTTGAGTGTGTTATATGATGTTCCCATTAGGACCATATGTTGAGTGTGTTAATATGATATTCCCATTAGGGCCATATATTGAGTGTGTTAAAATGATGTTCCCCTTAGGAACATATATTAAGTGTTTTAATATGATATTCCCATTAGTACCGTATATTAAGTGTGTTAATATGATATTCCCATTAGGACCATATATTAAGTGTGTTAATATGATATTCCCATTAGTACCGTATATTAAGTGTGTTAATGATATTCCCATTAGTACCGTATACTGTGTTAATATGATATTCCCATTAGTACCATATATTAACTGTTTTAATATGATATTCCCATTAGTACCGTATATTGTGTTAATATGATGTTTCCATTAGGACCATATATTAAGTGTGTTAATATGATATTCCCATTAGTACCATATATTAAGTGTGTTAATATGATATTCCCATTATTACCGTATATTAAGTGTGTTAATATGATATTCTCATTAGTACCGTATATTAAATGTGTTAATATGATATTCCCATTAGCACCATATATTGAGTGTTAATGTGATATTCCTATTAGGACCATATATTAAGTGTGTTAATGTTATTCCCATTAAGACCATATATTAAGTGTGTTAATATGATATTCCCATTAGTACCGTATATTAAGTGTGTTAATATCATACTCCCATTAGTACCGTATATTGTGTTAATATGATATTCCCATTATTACCGTATATTAAGTGTGTTAATATGATATTCCCATTAGTACTGTATATTAAGTGTGTTAATATGATATTCCCATTAGTACTGTATATTAAGTGTGTTAATATGATATTCCCATTTGGACCATATATTGAGTGTTAATATAATATTCCCATTAGGACCATATATTAAGTGTGTTAATGTTATTCCCATTAAGACCATATATTAAGTGTTTTAATATGATATTCCTATTAGTACCGTATATTAAGTGTTTTAATATGATATTCCCATTAGTACCGTATATTGTGTTAAATGATGTTCCCATTAGGACCATATGTTGAGTGTGTTAATATGATATTCCCATTTGGAACATATATTAAGTGTTTTAATATGATATTCTCATTAGTACCGTATATTAAGTGTTTTAATATGATATTCCCATTAGTACCGTATATTGTGTTAATATAATATTCCCATTAGGACCATATGTTGAGTGTGTTAATATGATATTCCCATTAGGAACATATATTAAGTGTTTTAATATGATATTCCCATTAGTACCGTATATTAAGTGTGTTAATATGATATTCCCATTAGTACCATATATTGAGTGTTTTAATATGATATTCCCATTAGTACCATATATTGAGTGTTTTAATATGATATTCCCATTAGTACCATGTATTAATTGTGTCAATATAATATTCCCATTAGGACCATATGTTGAGTGTGTTAATATGATGTTCCCATTAGGACCATATGTTGAGTGTGTTAATATGTTCCCATTAGGACCATATATTGAGTGTGTTAATATGGTATTCCCATTAGGACCATATATTGAGTGTGTTAATATGATGTTCCCATTAGTACCATATATTGACTGTGTTTATATGATATTCCCATTAGGACCATATATTGACTGTGTTTATATGATATTCCCATTAGGACCATATATTGAGTATGTTAATATTGTATTCCCATTAGGACCATATATTGACTGTGTTTATATGATGTTCCCATTAGTACCATATATTGACTGTGTTTATATGATATTCCCATTAGGACCATATATTGACTGTGTTTATATGATATTCCCATTAGAACCATATATTGAGTGTGTTAATATGGTATTCCCATTAGTACCATATATTGACTGTGTTTATATGATATTCCCATTAGGACCATATATTGACGGTGTTTATATGATATTCCCATTAGGACCATATATTGAGTGTGTTAATATGGTATTCCCATTAGGACCATATATTGAGTGTGTTAATATGATATTCCCACCAGGACCATATGCTGAATGTGTTTGCGAAGACGTCGCTTGTTCAACTCGGCTCTTGCTGGCCAGACTCCTGTTCTGAATTTGACATTGGTCAACTTTTACAGTACGGTCAGTGGTCATCAAGTGCTTAAAACATCTTGTCCAAAGACTCCTCCTCTACTTTTCTCTTATAACGAATCTGATGTAAGCGCCGTCCTATAAATGATGTCATCATTCCCCATTTGTAGGAACCTTTGATTTATTGGTTTATAATTGAGCATCTCTCCAAAGTGAAGATTTAAGTTTATGTCCATAATTCTACTTTTAATACGTTTTGACTTGTATCACTTTAAGTCATTTTATTTTCCATAGTCCTAAAAATTCTGAACCTGACGTCAAATTTCAATTCTGCGGCTGCAGATTGTCGAACTGACCATAGAGAAATTACAACAGCCACCATAGCTTCTATGTAAGTTTGTTGGAATGTATGTATGTGTAATAATTTGGGTGAGGGCCAGAGTGGGATTAAGTGGAAGTCATGTACACAGGAATCATGTACACAGGAGTCATGTACACAGGAGTCATGTACACACGTATGAACATAATGGATCAGACTCTTGTATTTATTATTTGAAATGTTTCTTATGTCAAGCTGGATACAGAAATTTACTGTTACATAGTAAAATGATTGCTACTAAATAGTTACTGGACATTTCAGAGTGATTGCTTCAATCATTGGTGGATTGTTGCTGTTTGGAACGATCTTTGACCTCATCTTTGTCTTTCGGCGGCACCAAGTAAGGGATACACCTCATGAGACAACAATTACAGATGGAGGATCCATGGGCTTTCCCAACCAGATCTGCAGGATTGACGACGCTAACATGGATCAAAATGGGGTCAACCACACCTACCAGACAGATCAAGAAAGTAGTGACCAGATCAATGAGCCCAACTTGACCTCCTCATGGGCTGACCATGTTATCAGTGGGGTCAGCCGAGCCTCACTGCTAAACCAGGCAGGTTGTCACCAGGTTAGCACAGACAACTTGACCACCTGTTGGACTGACCAAGAAAGCAATGAAGAGACCAATCAGACCATCTCACTGATTGAAACAGTTGACTGTCACCAGGTAACCAAAGACAGAGACCAGGTGACTAGCTGTGCAGACCAGGAAACCTTGAGCCAGGATGCACAGACCAATGATCTAGACCAGACAACCTATAGTCTAGATCAGGAGACCTACAGCCAGGATAAGATGACCAAAACCAACCCTGTAGATGTTTCCCAACCCCTAGTAGAGACCAAAGCAGCACAGGAAGAACAAATATCCCATGGTATTTAGAAGTCTCTAAGAATAGTTAATAATTAATTTCAATGACATTTCATGGTGAAGTAGTTTCTTACTGCTAGGAAAAGAGAATTTGTAAGCCCTTTGAGGAAATAATAAACTAGCAAAATTATCCTTTAATTCTGAAATGTCTTCCTGATGAACCTCTTGACAGAATTACCTTCTTGAACATTAATCCTGATATAATGACAGAATTGCCTTCTTGACCATTAATCATGTTAGAAAGACATAATTACTTTCTTGACCATTGGTCCTGTTAGAGTGACAGAATTACTTTCTTGACCAGTGGTCCTGTTACAATGACAGAATTACTTTCTTGACCAGTGGTCCTGTCAATGGACAGAACTACTTTCTTGACCAGTGGTCCTGTTACAATGACAGAATTACTGTCTTGACCAGTGGTCCTGTTACAATGACAGAATTACTTTCTTGACCAGTGGTCCTGTCAATGGACAGAACTACTTTCTTGACCAGTGGTCCTGTTACAATGACAGAATTACTGTCTTGACCAGTGGTCCTGTCAATGGACAGAACTACTTTCTTGACCAGTGGTTCTGTTAGAATGACAGAATTACTGTCTTGACCAGTGGTCCTGTTACAATGACAGAATTACTTTCTTGACCAGTGGTCCTGTTACAATGACAGAATTATTTTCTTGACCAGTGGTCCTGTCAATGGACAGAACTACTTTCTTGACCAGTGGTCCTGTTACAATGACAGAATTACTGTCTTGACCAGTGGTCCTATCAAAGAACAGAAAAACCTTTTTGACTAATGGTCCTGTGATAACAGAATAACTTTCTTGAACATTTTACGATCAAATATTTGATCAATATAACATGTCTCCATCATCTACTATAAATTATAACATTTCCTTAAACTGCTATAAATTATAACATTTCCTTAAACTGCTATAAATTATAACATTTCCTTAAACTGCTATAAATTATAACATTTCCTTAAACTGCTATAAATTATAACATTTCCTTAAACTGCTATAAATTATAACATTTCCTTAAACTGCTATAAATTATAACATTTCCTTAAACTGATATAAATTATAACATTTCCTTAAACTGCTATAAATTATAACATTTCCTTAAACTGATATAAATTATAAGATGTCTCCTCCAGGTTTCCTGGTGGACTTGTTGCTGACATTCTCCGTGTACACCAACTCATTCAAACTACTCAAAAGTTCACAGCCGCCAGGTTCCTTGACAGCTGTCAATGGCATTAGATTTATCAGTATGTCATGGATTATACTTGGTCATATGTACTCTTATGGTGTGGAACAATTTGGTGAGCCCACATCATGTCATCTAAATACCATCAGCATATCTTCTTTATGACACCTGTATGTCATCTGTAGGCCATAAATTGTACCAATCAAAATTACATTTTGCAGACTGAGCAACTTTCATTGGACAAATATTTCATTATAAAGTTGATATTCAGACTGGATCGGAATTGATCTTGTTGTGTCATTGTGTTTTTGATCTGAGAAAAGGTGTTTAGCTGTGTTAACTATATGATGTAACTTTGTTAGATGGTGTTTAGCTGTGTTAACTATATGTTGTAACTTTGTTAGATGGTGTGTAGCTGTGTTAACTATAGGTTGTAACTTTGTTAGATGGTGTGTAGCTGTGTTAACTATATGGTGTAATGTTGTTAGATGGTGTGTAGCTGTATAAGCTGCATGTGTATCTGTTAGCGGCATGTGTATCTGTATTTGTAACTGTTAACTGGATGTGTGGCTGTGTCAGCTGGATGTGTAACTTTACATGTAGATTTTGACTTGGGTCATTTAAAATGAATTTGTTTTGTTAACCATCCACCATTTTTCAATCTTCAATAGCAAACACACTGACTGTATTTCCACTCCTACTCCACCGATGGACATCTGATGTCATCGCCAACAGTTTTGTTTCAGTTGACACATTCTTTACCATCAGGTAATATACTTTTTTTCTTTTGTGTGTGTGTGTGTGTGGCAGAACCAAGGTAGACAGTTTTTACCCCACACCACTTTTTTTTACCTAACATTTACTTCCTCTCCAAGAATAGCTTCTTGAATGGGCTTCTGACTCCACACTGTTAATATCCCTTACAAGTAGTGGTGCCACATTCATTTTTAACCCTGAATCTGTGCTGGCCTTCTTGGGTGTGGAGGGGAAAGTTCGCCCCCTGCGGTACTTTTTTCATTATATTGAGGGGCTGCATTTTCAGCCACCTGAATAGAGAGCAACAAAAAGCTGGACCCGCCCTGGGCGCTACTAACTCTAACCCGAACCCGCCCTGGACGCTACTAACCCTAACCCCCACTGTGCGGTACTAACCCTAACTACTCCACTGATGGCTCCTCACTTCAGCATCCCATAGGGAGGCACTAGATTAGAACTCAGCAATCAGTGTGTTGTGAGATGATAGCGGGTGTCTCGTGAGATGATGGCAGGTGTGTTGTGAGATGGTGGCAGGTGTGTTGTGAGATGATGGTAGGTGTGTTGTGAGATGAGAGCAGGTGTGTCGTTAGATGATAGCGAGTGTATCATGCAAAACGCCTCCAAGAGGAGGTGATTCTCATATCATAGTAAATATTAAAACTTGATGCTACACTGGTGTAAAAGAGATATGCCTTAACCTATAACCAGGCTGTCAGACACTGGGGTAAAAAAGAGTTGTTTTCGCCTATTATGAGCCTGTCAAACACTGGGATAAAAGAGATATGTCTTAGCCAATAACCAGGCTGACAGACACTGGGGTAACATAGATATGTCCAATAATCCAATTCATATAAAACAATACATTGAAATCTTATACCTTTCAACATTATATGCCATTGTCAATGTTCACTGCATCATGTTATTTAGTAGATGTTTGCATGTGATGTGCCGTGGAATTCTTGGATATGCCTGAGGTGTGCCGCACGTGAAAGAAGGTTAATGAGCTCTGTTAAAGATTATACAACACATACTGCCATAGCAACACAATAAAAAAAATAATCACATTTAAAATAGAGATCAGTTTTGATGTTCCTATATGTCCCCATTGTTTGTGTTCCCATAATGAATGTTCAACATACTTGTTGTTTACCAAATGATCTTTACTATTATTGATGTGTACCATTACTAATGTTTACCATTACTGATGTTTACCAATATTAATGTTCCCATATTATATTATGTTCCTCATTACTGATGTCCCTCATTTGTTCCATTGCCAGTGGTTTCTTGGTGGCTTATGTAACATTCAAGGATGTCTTAAAAAATGGATGGAGAATAAACTGGGCTCTCTTTTATGTACACCGTTACTGGAGGTAAGTGGTAAGTGTCTAACTGGTGAGACATTTAAGTGGTGAGAATGGTTGGAATGAACTGGTGAGACATTTAAGTGGTGAGAATGGTTGGAATGAACTGGTGAGACATTTAAGTGGTGAGAATGGTTGGAATGAACTGGTGAGACATTTAAGTGGTGAGAATGGTTGGAATGAACTGGTGAGACATTTAAGTGGTGAGAATGGTTGGAATGAACTGGTGAGACATTTAAGTGGTGAGAATGGTTGGAATGAACTGGTGAGACATTTAAGTGGTGAGAATGGTTGGAATGAACTGGTGAGACATTTAAGTGGTGAGAATGGTTGGAATGAACTGGTGAGACATTTAAGTGGTGAGAATGGTTGGAATGAACTGGTGAGACATTTAAGTGGTGAGAATGGTTGGAATGAACTGGTGAGACATTTAAGGTATTTACAATTTTAGCGTATTAATTAGAGAGTATTAGTGAGTCTATTAGGGTGGGGGAGACTGAGTGTGCTGGTGAGACTGCCAGGGAATAGGTGAGACTTCTAGGGAATAGGTGAGACTGTTGTATAAATTGATGAACTGCTTATAGTATTAATGAGACTTTAAGCTAAAGAAATCCAGTGTATATATATTTAGATTAAAAGCCTCACTTGTTCGGTGGTAGGGTCCTGTACTGACCTACTCTCTTCCCTACTACAGATTGACCCCACCCTACATCCTGACCTTGACATTTGTGCTTGGCTTCCAGAGGTTTCTGGGATCTGGACCCCTCTGGGAGACTGTCCAGCCATGGGACAAGACTGACTGTGAGAAAAATTGGTGGACCAACCTTTTATATCTCAATAACCTGATCAATGTCCAGCACGAGGTAAGACAGTCTGGCAGGTGGTAAGACAGTCTAGCAGGTGGTAAGACAGTCTGGCAGGTGGAGCCAGTGGTTACAAGTCAAATGTGTGCCAAGTACTGCAACTTTTCATGGGTGTTGCAAGTATTAAAGACTGTTTACTGTGTCATTGTATCTAAGACTGTTTATTGTGTCATTGTATCTAAGACTGTTTATTGTGTCTTTGTATCTAAGACTGTTTATTGTGTCATTGTATCTAAGACTGTTTATTGTGTCATTGTATCTAAGACTGTTTATTGTGTCATTGTATCTAAGACTGTTTATTGTGTCATTGTATCTAAGACTGTTCATTGTGTCATAGTTGGTATTTTGTGAAAACATAATTTAAATGAATGTTTTTCCTTCCTCTGCCTAAGGCTTACAGTAGACATTGTGAAATTATTTGGTCTCAACTATCATTTCTATGTCTGTCTCCAGTGTTTTGGTCACGCCTGGTACCTGGCCAATGACATGCAGTTTTACTTGGTCGCCCCTCTCATGATAATCCCATTTCATATGTAAGTGTCCAGGTCATTTTTTGTACAATTCTGAATTCCATTAAGAGAGGAATTAAACTTGTATTTTGGCCCAACAGTCACTCATCGTAGTTTGCCCAACAGTCATTCATCGTAGTTTGCCCAACAGTCACTCATGGTAGTTGGCCTAACAGTCACTCATGGTAGTTGGCCTAACAGTCACTCATTGTAGTTGGCCTAACAGTCACTTACTGTAGTTGGCTTGCTGGTTTGAGTCTTGGATTTCAATGTGTCCATTAAATGGGACTGCAATTCATAATGTCAACAAAAGTAAATGTTGTACTCTGTCTAATTCTAGCCATGCCCTGTCTGGTGTGGGATCCTGTCTCATGTTCCTACTGGTCCACTGGTTAACCACAGCCATCCTATCTGTCCTCAATGACTGGCCAGCAGTTATGGTGGGTCTGGACACTCACATTCAGTAAGTGTGGTTTCTGTTTTGTGATTTGCCAAGGAAATGTAACAACTCTTTTTTTGTGTAATGATTTGTTTCTCCATGTTTCCTCAGAGAAGTTTCTCCACATTGGCTCAAACACTACTACATTGTTCCCTGGTGCAGAATAGGTCCCTACATCATAGGCATTTTGGCTGGCTATTACATGGCGGTCTCCAATGGGAAAATGAATCTCCGGAAGGCAAGTACATACTCATATTTTATACACGTTCATATTGCACATTCAATTGTAGACATTTGTCCCAAATAAACACAACTTTTTTTCATCTCAAATAATGGATGTAAAGTCATTTTTTTAAATATCATTTGAAATCCAGGAACTGGAGAGTTTAACTTTTTATTTTTCCTCCAACAGTCACTTACCATAGTTGGCTGGCTGGTTGCCATAGCAACAGGAGTGGTCATTGTGTTTGGTCTCCGTGGTGATATTGGGGGAGACAATCCTTGCAGCTTGGCTGTGGCGGCCTTTTACAACTCAATGGCCAGGACGGCTTGGGGCGTGTGCATAGCGTGGGTCATCGTGACCTGTGGCTCAGGATGGGGAGGTAAGGCTGCTTAAATGCACCTCATTAAGGTCAAGGTCAAGTCTAGGAGTTTGGACTCTAAAACTTTAACTCGGTGGTTCCCAATCTTTTTGGACCCATTTTTGGAATCAATTTCTATGGGAAGCCCATCAGTACTATGCCTACCCTATGTCTTACAAATGATTAGTATTTAAGAGTTTCCTGGAGCGACTGTGAAGCCCATGAAGTGCACAGGGAGCCTTTGGGTTGGAAACAACTTTTCAAATTGATGTGATTGGTTGGTCTGAAAAACCTATTTATAGCTTTTATCTTAACACTTGCAGCCCAAGTGAAGATTGTCGAGATTCTGCATTGTCATTTCTAGTTATTTACCTATTTATTTAAAGGCTACATGATCTCATTAAATCTTCTTTATTTACTCAAATTAAATTTCTTCTTCTTCAGGTCCAGTAAACACAATTCTGTCTTGGTCACCATTTGTCCCTCTTGGCCGCCTGACCTACATGGCCTACCTCATACACCCATGTCTGACTAGAGTCTACTTTGGAAACCATGACGTCCCCTACCTGTTGAATGATACCAATTTGGTCAGTCCATCGCTTACCTTCAGTGTTCATCTTTTCAAAATTTCATGAAACATTGTTTTAGCATTTTCCATTAAAAAAGTATTGTTTTAATGACTCTTTCTTGACATAGTTTTTGTCATCATTTCCAACTCATTAAAAAAGAATTCTATTTCAGGTGATTTCTTACCTAGGCATTCTTGTGTTCACCTACCTGACAGCTTTCTTTCTAAGTCTGGCCCTGGAGTCTCCAATGATTGGTTTGGAGAAGGTCATTCTTGCTAAATTAAAATGTGATCCATGAATTTTTAAATTGCTAATAAATGCAAATTTGAATGTTTATTGAGAGTGTTTACGTGTTTAATCTGGCATGAGTCTTTGTTTACATGTGTCATGTGTGTTGTGTGATGTGTGTTGTGTAATGTTTGTTGTGTCATGTGTGATGTATCATGTGTGATGTGTCATGTGTGTTTGGATATCATGTGTGATATGTTATGGGTGATATGTCATGCTTGACTGGTGTCATTTGTGATGGGATGCCATTTTGTTTTCCCTAGATGTCTTGAGTCTTCATACCGATGCAAGCCATTTTCCCTTTGCATATTGAATGAAAAGCTTTTTTTCATTACTGCTTTTTCTTTGTGTCAAAAAAATTGCATGAAACACATAACAGTATTGATCTGTGAATGGTTTATTTTCAAAGTTTTCTTAACCAGATGTCCTGTGGCTGGCTGTATTGTGTGGGTCATGGTCTCAATATCAAACCAATACTGACATAAAGAGGCATGTTGAGCAAGGATTGTATAAAGGTCATTTATTATTAATAGCCCAACAAAGACATCATAATGTGGCAGAAGTTATTCCTATACACACCTCTCCCCCCCCCCCCGCCCAAACACACACACAAATCACAATTTCTATTTGTAACGGTTCAAGATTGTTTATATTTGTTGAATAAAGTAATTTATCAAATGATAGATTCTAATACTGTGTTCTGTCTGCAATTTATTGTGGCCATCTTAATGCTGCCACATGCAGGTGTCATGGACAGTCCTTAATATAACTTATGGGGTTATGCCGTCTGGTGATATCACATGACCAGGGGGGCTACGTTTTCTTCTTTCCGAGGAATAATTTCTCCAGTCCAATCATGGGGGACTCCAACCCAAGTACGAGAACAAAGGAAACCATGTTGACCAATCCCAGCATTCCCAGGAATGAGATGGCCTGTTGGAAACAAAGTTAGACGGTCGGTCAGAAACAAAGTGTGTCGGTCAAAAATAAAGTGAGCGTCGGTCAAAAACAAAGTGAGTGTGTCAGTCAAAAACAAAGTGAGTGTGTCGGTCAACTCTTTCATTTTGTTAAATTCTAAATGTGTTCATTTCTATCACTAAATTCACTGCACTAAACAGGTACAATACATTACCCTTTTATTACTTTGCCCCAACTACCGCACTCACCCCAACTACCGCACTCACCCCAACTACCGCACTCACCCCAACTACCGCACTCACCCCAACTACCGCACTCACCCCAACTACCGCACTCACCCCAACTACCGCACTCACCCCAACTAC